TATATATAAAGGCACTGGGTTCATATGAATAACAGCTTCTTCACTGTAACTTTGTCTTATCAAGTCTTAAAGTTCCCTAACGGCTTTACTACTTGTGCCATGTTTGTTTCATTATCACAGAACTTCAGAGTGGGAAAGGATTAAAGGAATTATCTAGAAAAATCTACCCTGTGTATAAAACCTTTGAAACAATCAATGGTTTTATTGCTCTTACTTTAGGCCAAGCTTTGGAAGTAAGAATGATACAAAATACATGAACCATCTCTTCACTCAAAGAGCCATCATTAAGTTGACAGTATAATTAGTATGAGATAACAAGTGTGGTAGTGCATTGTTTTGTTATTCATCATGCTTAGTATTTAAGTGGTGCTTTTCACTCATACAAATCTTGGGCAAGTGTGTGCTTTGAAGTGTGTGCTTTGAAGAAAGTTTCTAATCCATTTGAGCATTAGTTCCTTCATCTGTGAATATGGAATGAAAATAATAGCAGCTGCCTCATAACACTGTTGTGGAAACAAAATAAGCATGTGAAAAAAAGATAAGGATGTAAAGGGCTTAGTATAATGCCTGGCCCATAAAAAACCTTAATAAGTAATAATTATTATATTAAACTTTGGAGTTAGATTACACTTGGTGCAATGCAGACAGGAACCTAGTTCATATAAAATTCTGCAGCCCATTGTTAGCAAACCCTAAAGTGAAGTCTGTCCTTTTGTTTCCCCTTATTACCCCAGCCCTAATACACCCACTTCCATCCAGCAGAAAGAGGCCAGACTTTGATTAAGGGCTGGCTAGTTTCCATTGCTTAAATTATCTGCTAGTATGGAATTTATAATCCTATGATTATAATTTATAAATTTCTTGAGACCATAAATAATATCTATTTTATTTTATTTTTACTTGTATCAGGGTAAGAACAATGGCCTTGAGGCCCAGTATGTACTTAGAAACTACATTATTTTTTTATAATTTTTTTGAGTATGGTTGATACATAATGTTACAGTATTTTCAGGTGTATAACATAGTGATTCAACTTCTGTGTACATTATCCTATGCTCACCAGAAGTGTAGCTACCATGCTTGATTGAATGGTAGCCCCTAACATTACCTAGGCAGGGATCCAGCACTAATCTTTTTCAAGCAGCAAAGGATCCTAATGTTGGATTTGGGTATTCTAGTTACTTTTTGTTCATAATGATGTGGAGATTGATTAAATTGTGTGCATACTCATTTGGACGATAATGGAAGCAAAATTATAGTCCAGTAAGTAGAATTTAGCATTAAATTATATAGTAAGAACACATCAAAAAGTGTTGTTGCTCTTTGTAAGAGATTTTTAACCTTGTATAATTTTTTTTTAAATCTATTTAAGATGTCATGAAGATGGATA